TTTTGTTCTATCATGATAAACAGGGTTTTTACTAAGATGAATGGTACTTTGGTTATCAATATATATCTTAACAGAATCATCAGCAAAGCCAATTTCATTTAACAAGCCAATTAGTTTCTTTCACACAGCATCACATGCAGCAATATATTCAGCTTCAGTTGAGGATAAGAAAACTAATTTTTGTGATTGTGACTTCCAACTAATGCAGCTATCACACAAAGTGAAAATATATGAAGATGTGGATCTTCTTTTATCTAAGTCACCAGCAAAATCAGAATTAGTGTAACATTTTAACTTTATTCATTCCTTACTTCTTTTAAATTATAAACCTAAATCAGAAGAACCCTTTAAATATCTTAACATCCACTTTACAGCCAGCCGGTGAGTTTCACCTAGATTGGCCATAAATCTGCTTAAGACACTAATTCCATAAGCTAAGTCAGGTCTGGTGCAAACCATAAGATACATAATTGAACCTATTGTGTTAGCATATGGAACATTTTTCATTCTTCTAAATTCATCTTCTGTTTTAGGGGATTGTTCACTAGTCAGTTTAAAATGATTAACAATGGGTAAAATCACAAGTTTACACTCAAGCATAGAAAATTTTCAAGTATTTTCTTCACATAAGAACTTTTTTTTAACAAGAAGATACAATTATCTCTATCCCTTTCTATTTCCATTCCAAGTATCCTTTTAGCATGTCCCAAATCTTTCATTTCAAATACAGATTTCAATTTAAACTTTACAGAATTTCAGATCTATCATGACAAGCAAGTAACATATCATCTACATATAGGAGCAAATAAATGGATTCAGGTCCACCTGACCCTTTGAAGAAGAAACATGAATCATAATTACTTCTTACAATGCCCAATTTCTGAACATATGTATTAAATTTGATATACCATTGCCTGGGGGCTTATTTCAGCCCATACATAGATTTTTTCAGCAAACACACCTTTTCAGTTTTGGACTTTACTTCAAATCCCAAAGTTTGATTCATATATATAATCTCATTCAAGTTTCCATTATCTTTTCAACAGAATTGTAGTTCAACATCAAATTCCCAGTTAAAATGAGCAGTAAGAGCTAACAGAATTCTGATAGAAGTATACTTAGCCACAGGTGAGAAAATTTCATTATAGTCAACTCCTTCTTTTTGAGTAAACCCCTTAGCAACTAATCTGACTTTATACCTCTTATTTTCAGAATTGGAATCTCCTTGTTTTATCTTATAAATCCACTTACAATCAAAAACTTTTGATTTTAAGTCTGTCAACTAAAATCCAGGTTCCATGTTTAATAAGGGAATCATTTCTTCATTCATAGCCTCTTTACAGAAATTAGAATCAGAACACTTTATAGCATTATCAAAAGAAACAGGTTTTGAATTCACAGAGTCAAGAGCGGAAAATAAGGTAACAAATTCATCATTATTGAATCTGGTTGAAGGTCTTATTTCTCTCATTTCTCTATCTCTAGTTAATTGATAATCAGTAAGTGCAGTTTTAGAAGATTCATTCTCATTTTCAGATTCAATTGGATCGAGACAAAGATCAATTTGAGTAGACTCCACCTCAATAAAATCATCTTGAATAACAGCATTTTCAGATTGATTTTTCAGGACAGTTTCCTTGACAGATGTAGTTTCAGGGGCTTTAAGATTAGATGATTCATTACAAGGCATGTCATCTTTATTAAAAATGACATTTCTACTAACAATTACTTTGTAACCATTTTGGCATTTGACCCTTTAACATCATCTCCATATACTAGAAAAACACATTTTAGGGATCTTGGTTCAAGCCTACCTTCACTTTGATGTTAATAAGCAGTGCAGTCAAAAACTTTTAATATACTATAATCAGGTATTGTTCCAAACCATGTTTTTTTAGGAACTTGAAGATCAATGGCACTAGAAGGACTCCTATTTATAAGATAAGTTGTAGTTTTTAGGGCTTCTCCCTAGAAAAACTTAGGAATACCAGAACTGTAAAGCATACATATCACCTTTTCTAAAGGATATCTATTCATTCTCTCAGTAACTCCATTTTGCTGAGGTGTGTATGTTATAGTTCTATGTCTTAGAATTTTAGATTCTTTACAAAATGAATCAAACTCTGAGTTACAAAACTCAATACCATTATCAGTCCTTAGTGCTTTGATTTTCTTGTTGGTTTGATTTTCAATCATAAGTTTCCATTGTTTTAAAGTCTTAAAAGTATCTGATCTATGTTTTAAAAGAAAAGTCCATATTTTTCTTGAAAAATCATCAACTATAAGTAAATAGAACCTAAAACCACTTAGAGTATTTACAGATGTTGGATACCAAAGGTCAGCATGTAAATAATCCAAGATAGAAGTGGATTTATGTGTCCCAGTTTTGAAAGGCAATCTTTTCTATTTTCTAAAAATACAGTTTTCACAAAAGTCTAACTTTTTGATTTTATCTTTACCAAAACAATCAAGATTATTCAAAATGGCAAGTCCCTTTTCAGAAATATGACCAAGTCTTTTGTACCAAATCAAAGACTAATTAGACTCAATGTTTAAGGCTGCAGAACAATGATAAATCACAGGATCAGCAGAGACAGTGTAGATCCTATTTAATTTTAGAGAGGAGATAACATTTTTACTTCCTTGTTTAAGTCTTAGAAGACCTTTATGATTCATGATATTATATTTGTCATCTAATTGACCCAAAGAAATCAAATTTCTTTTAAGCTCAGGTACATATTTGCAATTTTCAAGTTCAAGGATGTAGTTATTCATCAATAATTTGATCTTTCCAATTTCCTTTATTTAACAACTCAAGTCATTTTCCATTTGAATCTGCCCTTCACTAAGTTCAACAAATTCAGAGAAACATTCCTTGATGGGACACAAGTGGAAAGTATAGCCGAGTCAAAGACCCATTCTTTTTTATCTCTTTTAGTGGTATTCACAAAGACTACTCCTTGAATGTCAGGTTCATTCTTGCAGACCAAGGCCGCAGAACATTCCAAGTTATTCTTATCTTTCATATCCAATATTTTCTTGAAACGGTCTTTCATTTGATGACTTGATTTGCCACAGTAGTAACATTTTCTGATCTGATTCTTGGATTTCATATGACTTTCGTTCTTCTCTTTGAATCTGAAGTTCTGAGATTTAGCTTTCTTATGATGGTTGAAAATGTATGTAGGTTGTTTCTTATTAAGATTCCATTTCTCCTTTATGTGCAACCCTTCCCTATACTTAGAATCTTTAGATTCGACTTTCTGCTCAAGTCCTTTATTTCTTAGGGCTGAAGTTATTATATCAACCGTGAGATCCTGCCCTCCATATTCTAAAGCAGTTATGATGTCTTTGTATTTATCACTAAGTGAGTTCAGAAAAGCAACAACTTGTTGATCATCAGAAAGTGTTTCATCACAATTTTCTAAATCCTAAATCATTTTTGTGAATCTGTCAAGGTTATCTTCCAAATCAGATGAGGGATCAAATCTAAAGTTATAGAACAGCCTCAAAAGATAACATTTATTAGGCATAGTCTTAGTCAGATAAAGAGATTCTAGCTTATTCCATAAAACATGAGCAGAGTTAGTTTCTCCAACTTCCCTATCACATTATCAAACAGATGCAAGAAAATTGAACTCCATGCAGTGTCATCTAATTCCTACCTCCTATAGGCACTAGTCTCTACAGCCCATCGACCATCAAGGGCTGCAGCACACCTTTGTTGAAGTAAAAGAGCCCTCATCTTCTAGCGCCAGAGACTGAAATCTCTAGTACCATTCCATATCTCAAGTTC